CGGGGCCGCAGCCTCAGCTCTGTTATCTGCTCGCGGCCTTGACGACGAGCTGGATCCCCTGTGAGACGGGCCGCGTGATTGAGGCGCTGGTGGTGGCCGCTCGTCAAACCTTGTCTGACGGGGTTGTGTGCTGCCCGGCGCGCGGCCTCGCGAACTCTGGGCTCGCTGACGCTGGCGTTCCAAGATGCTACTCATTTCTCCTGCACAAAAAAACGTATAAGCCTCAGCTCGGCTAGAATCCATGTTATATGATGAAAATATATCTTCGCTGATCAGGTTTGTCACATCGACAAACCCGAACACGGCGAGCTGCTCCGAGGTAACCAGGGCCTCTAGATCTATCAAACCCTCCCCCTGCGCATACTTAAGCAGCTGGTTTTTCAGATCTACATCCCGCGGCAGCAGCTGTGGATAGTTGATGTGGGCGTTTGGCGTGCGCCACTCAGACAGCCGGGCAGCGAGGTCATTGCTTATCCTTTCTGCTCGTGTGTCGCGAACAAAAATAAATTGTCTCTTCCACCTCGCCACTTTGTTCCTCACGTTTTTGAAGAGCTGGCTCTTGTCCCTCCCAGAGAGGTAGTGCCACTTCGCTCCTCGTGAGTTCGGACACAACCGGCACTAGAATAGTGACCTGAACACTATCGCTTTCGCTGGCACCTCCAGTCTTGCGCACAACAGCATAAAGCCCATGATGAACCTTATGCTGTTGGGCGTTAGCTGCGTCAGCGCCAGCTCGTATTCTGCGAGCAGATCGAACACCAGGCCAGGCAGGGGAAACCGCAGGCCGGCGTCAAAGTGGTCCGCATATACTGGGATCCAGCCCGTCCGCGACACCGTGCACGCCCTTTCGTTCTGCCCGCCAGTCCGCAGCAGTATGGTTTTGGGGATGTGGTACACCCTCACCATCTCCTCGAGCCTTTTATATCCGCTTATAGAGGGCGTACAATCTGCTACTTCGTGATGAAGTGCGGCCCTGAACCTGAATCCAGCGGGCAGGTCCTTTGGTGCTTTTCGCAGGTTGCTCAGCCTGCCCGGGATCGTTGTGCTTTCCCATTCCCCAGTCAGCGGCCGATCTGAGATACTGCTCACCACGTCCCCCACCCCTTCTTCACGGCTGGGTGTCTCTTCGCTAGACGAGCTGCTCGGCAACGCACCACGGTGGTCGTCACCGTTGTCGCTGGCGCTGGAACTGGCGCTGTTCTCAGACGCCGTTGTTTCCGGTACATCCTGCAACTACGACGGCACTATCATCGTGATAGGCTCCACTGACAAAACCCCCTCCTCTTCTCCCTCTCTGCCCTGGTTACCTCGTTGCTCTGTGAGTTCTCTCAATGAAACCATTTTTACCTGAAATGGATGTGAAGTCGATTCGGTGTGCTGTTCTTCAGGCTGGAGCGTTTCGCTTCAGAGAATTTTTGGGAAAGTTTAAGCAAATGCAAAATTGAAAATGAAAAAGGGAAACGGTTACGCAGAGAAGGATAGTAGCGTTAATGGCCGTACGCGTGTTTCTGACGCGCCAACTAGCGTCCCACACGTGGCAAACGCTTAACGCCTCCCCTGCATAACGTGCACCGACTTTAGCTGTCACGTCCCTCGAATGCTGATCCAGCATTTATGACAGGGAAGGCAGAGAGATATGGGAAGCTCAACCGTATCTCTTCAGAGATTTGCTTAACTCAAAAATCCCCAAGATTCAGATCGTAACTGCTGAGGTGCACCCTACACGGTCATGTCAGCTCGCCATGGCGAGCACACTCACCAGGTCGTTACAAAGATGACATATTGCCCAGATCGGCTCGACCCTGCCAATTCGTTCACGAGTGTAGATCTTTCACTAGGATCCAGCTCGACACATATCATGACGACGAGCACGTTTACCAGGTCCTTGCATGGACTGCAGTTCACACTAAGCCGCAAGCCTTTGCATAAATTAATAGGTGCATGACGTCGCCCTATTCGACAACACTACTCGTGCGAGCTGGTAAAGTGACAGTCAAAAACATCAAATCACACTACATGTGAGGTCGCGTCGCCTCACTTCGTGATCATAGCTGGCCAAGTGTCACCTGGTCGCACTTCGATAATGCTCCAAGGTCAGGTCGCCTTACGTCCGAGCTGAAAGGGCATTATACACGTGACTTGTCCACGTGCGAGCTCGTCTGTTGCGAATCACTTCAGCTCGCCGTCATCACCAACCCGCACCAATGCGGCTATGGATACCGGCTCGCCCACACGTTTTCAAGCTTGTGAGCTCGCCTTTTTCCGTTTTACCTCTCGGCTCGGCCCTCGTCGAAGTCGACAGCCCCGTCACTACATCCATCCCAGTTCATCAACCGAACACTGGGGGGGGAGTAATGTTGGGATAGGCCCAACAGGCCCAACACCCAAACAGGGCTGTGGGAAACGGGCCTAGGCTACCACCCATCAGCCTAAACTGAAGGAACATCAGTGCAAGCATACCCACGTGACCAATGCCACGCGGGTCAAGGGGAAGCTTACACGTGCAGATGTATGTCAGTGCCAAGGGGTTATAAATACCCCTCAACTACCTCCGATGAAGGTAATTAATCTCTACGCTTCTCTCTCTGCAATTAGTCCTTGGGAGCTTCTCTCTCTAGAACATTGAGTATTGCTGACTTGAGCGTTGGAGTGTTTTCCCCGAGGAAACAACCTCGGGATTTTCAGGTGTGGAAGCAGCTAAGGACTTCAACAGTGTTGGACTACGAAGCTGCTGAAACAATGGGCTAGTTATATTACTACCCTTACAACATCCCCATTGAACTTAGAGCCTTGATAACCTCCTCCTTGTTGGTGAGGGTAAGTGTTGACCAGAGAAGCTCAATCTCTTCCGCCATGGCTACCACCAGTGACTTCCAATCCCCTGTCTCACTCTAGCACTACGCCGGTGAAGCCTCAATTGGCACAATGGAGTTCATTCTCCCCCTATTATCAATGCCTTGATCGGAAACCAGAAACCTCCACCAACCCCCAAACCAACAAAATCCCTTCCCGTTGAATAAAAGATCCTACTACCCCTAACCAAAAACACAGTGCCTTTCCTAACCTCTACCCCGTCGCCAACCTAGACCAAGAAGGGAGAAGAGCGACGGTAGTCAGTATATCCTTCACACGTCGTGCGGTAGGCTGTTGTCCCGCTAGTGACAAAAACCTTAGCAGAGTTTTGTTGAGTCTTGAAAATTTTCTATTCTTAAATAAATTAAAAAACAAAACAAAACAAAACAAAATTTATATCTTTATCTATATATTTTTTCAAAAGTTATATTGCCTATTTAATCCAATTTTTTGAATAGATCATTTCTAGTGTAAAAGTTGGAGATTTGATGCAAATAAGAACACAAACTTCCAAAACTTTTTTAATTAAGTACAAGACCCTTCATTCTTATTAATTAAGGTTACTACTTTTCAAAAGTTTTTATTTAAGTATATAAACTTTGTAATTTTTTAAAAAAGAATTAGGTGGATATATAAGGTCATATCTTTAATTAAAAATTGTTGAAAGGTGGTAGTGCAACAAAAAAAAAAAAAGGGGTCGTATCCTGAATTTAAATGTTTTTAAAATATTATATTTTATTTGTATCAAATCTTATAAAAGTTGAAATTCAGTGAAAGGTATTTTAGCTTTTAATTAATTAAAAGGTTAGCAATTGAAACTAGAATCCTATTATTTATTTGAATTAGATTTTTTGTTATTAAAATTTTAGAAAAACTATTCTAATTTTTATAAATTTTTTAAGAATTTATAATATAATTTTTTTTAATGTAAATTCATAATAGAATCAAATTGGCGCCACCGGGCCAAACAAGGCTGAGGATCTTGGATGAGTTTTAGCCACAAGAAGGGGACACCGGGCACCGGCCGAAAAAGAGGACAATGATAGAGTTGTAGATAATGATTTAATTTAACCAAAAAAAAAAAGTGTTTTACATGGAAAATTATATATTAAAAATATAACTTACATTATAAATCTATTAAAATTTTTAATGAAACTATTTTTTTATCTTATTTCATTAAGGTATTTTTAATAAATTTATAAAATGTACTATATTTTTAATATACAATCTGAATTGTATTACATAAACTCCTTAATTTAAAACTTAAAACATAAAGCAAGTATTTTAATTTAGGTTTCATTTATTATGATTGTAATTTTTTATTTTTAGTATAAATCTTTTAATTTTAAACAAAAATTTGTATACTTTTTAAGTATTTTTATATATTATAACATAATTATTAGATAAATAAAAATAAAAATAATTTTAGTACTATTAAATAAATTTATATTTTTTGTTATTTGTGTTAAAAGTCATCCTAAATAAATTTTTAATTTTGACTTTTAATAATTACAAATTTAATAAGACTTAAAACTAAAAATGAAAAACTTTAATCATATTAAATGGAGTGATTTGGTTGCATTTTTTTTTAAAGGAGACTGATTTGGTTTTTCTTTTCATTCCTAAAGTTTTTTTCAATGCATTTTTGGTCTTTGAGCTTTTTCTCCCCCTTTTTGCCCATTCTCTCGACAGGAAGTGACATCAGAAATAAATTCTTTTTTTTGAAATTCAAATATTGTAAAAAACTATTGATGTGACAATTTTTAATTAAAAAGTATGAAAATGGGACTTATTAACTTATATATTTTAAAAATTCCATGCAGATTAGAATCCATTTAACTTAATTAATTGTGCATTTGATAGAGTTGAAGCATTTAATAGAAGTTTTGTTTAAAAAAAATTGTAATAGAAGTATTGTTTTTGTAAATAAAAAAATAATAAAATAATAAAAATAATATGTTTAATTTCATTAAAATTTAAATGAGAAGTACTTACAAAGGCATCAATTTAATACTTTTAAGATTTGTAATGAAATTAAAAAAAAAATTAATTTATAAAAAATTTTAATAATTTTCATAAATTATAATATTTAATGCAATTCAAGCTTTTAAAACCTAAAATTTTTTTTTATCAATGGCACCAAGCATGCACTAAATTTATATAATATCTACTCCTAAACCGACCTTCTTCCTCTTCAGCATCAACCACTACGATTACGAGGTGAAACTAAAATCTTCATCTTGGTTGGGTTTGGAGCAATTTGAACCCATCAACACGCGTACCTCTGTGATTGTAGTTTTTTATTATTGTAATTATTAATTAGTTCTTAATTTATATTTTAATTTGTTACTTTTTTTTTTACAAAAGTAATGATTAATAATTAAGTTAAAAATTATTAATAATTAAAAATTCAATTAGAGATTTAATCCCAAAACAGATCAACTTTCACCCTCGTTAACGCCCACAGCCCATTGGGGCGCATGGTGAAATTCAATTTGTCATGTGTTATGTAATTAGATTGACCTGGTCAAAGTCTCACGTGGCTCAACAAAAGGTTGATGGAAGGACAAAAAGTAATTAAAAAAACAGGTTCAGGAAAATGGGTATATCAATTTTAATTTTAAAAATAAATTAAAGTTTAAATTTTAAATTTTAAATTACATCATTTTATTTAATTAAAATTTAATTTAAAATTTAAAAAATTATCTAATTTTATAAATAATAAGTTTTTAAATTTAAATATTATATTTAATAAGATGAAATTTTAATTTTTAAAAATAAGTTGAGAGTTTAATTATTTTTTAAAATCAAAACTAATATATATTAACCTTATAAATTTAAGAACTAAAAAAACGCTAAAAAATGTTTAGGGATCAAAATGATATCAAATCAAATCACTAATTAAATTGAGGGACCATGCATATATTCTGAGCATCATAGATTGAGTTTCTGCCTTAATAAAGGACAATGAAAGAGTTGTTAAAGATAAATGATTTATTTATTTATTTATTTATTGTGGAGAAGTGATCTAAAATGCATTTACGAGTTGACCCCATAAGAACTTGGCCTCTATATATAGGAGATCTCAATCCTTTATGATCACCACAAAGAAAAATTAAAGAAATTAAAGAGAAAGAGAGTCGGAGATAGAATTAAAAATGGAAGTAGTTCAAGTGCTTCGTATGAATGGAGGCGTTGGAGAAACCAGTTATGCAAACAATTCATCAGTTCAGGTAATGATGGAATTCTGTTATGCAAATATATCTATAGATACAATATTGCGAGTTATATATGTTTATTTGATGATCAGTATGAGTGACACGATACACGATGAACTTGATTTTTGGCAGCTGAAGGTGATATGCATGACCAAACCAATCACGGAAGAAGCCATAACCAAACTCTACTGTAGCAACTTTCCCACAAGCTTAGCAATTGCAGACTTGGGTTGCTCTTCCGGACCCAATACTATGTTTGTTGTGTCCGAACTCATCAAGGTGGTTGACAAGATTCGCCAGAAACAAGGCCGACAGTCGCCTGAATATCATGTGCTCCTGAATGACCTTCCAGGGAATGACTTCAATACCATTTTCAGGTCCCTGCCAAGTTTCCAGGCCAAACTCAAGAAGATACTGGGGGATGGAAGTGGACCCTGTTTTTTCACAGGAGTGCCAGGTTCTTTCTATGGCAGGCTTTTCACAAGCAACAGTCTGCATTTTGTACACTCTTCCTACAGCCTAATGTGGCTATCTCAGGTTTTTATATGACCTCTCCTAATCGGACTTAGACTTCTGCCATTGTCTAACTCTTTAGGTTAAGATCCATGCTGTGCGTGCTTTTGAAGTGTATTATCACTACATATGCATTAATTATATTCAATTTCTAGTGTTAAGTGAAATATACTTTTTGTTTTCAGGTTCCTGAAGGGCTGGAAAACAATAAAGGGAACATTTACATGTCCAGCAGCAGTCCTCCCAACGTGATTAAAGCATATTATGAGCAATTCAAACAGGATTTCTCTCTGTTTTTGAAGTGTAGATCGGAGGAATTGGTGACCGGAGGACGCATGGTCCTGACCATTTTAGGAAGGAGAAGCGATGACCCAACAAGCAAAGAGTGTTGTTACATCTGGGAGCTCTTGGCCATGGCTCTTAATGATATGGTTTCTGAGGTACTTAGCGCCATAGTCATAACTAAGCTCGTTAACCAGAACAATTAATAATTAATTGTAAAATATATCTGAATAATTGCAGGGACTTATAGAAGAAGAGAAATTAGATTCATTCAACATTCCTCAGTACACACCATCGCCAGTTGAAGTAAAAAACGAAGTTATGAAAGAAGGATCGTTTGCCGTAGATCGCTTGGAGGTGAGTGAAGTGAACTGGAATGCATATTCCAATGGTGAATTTAACCAGTTGGATGCATTTAAGGACGGTGGATACAATGTTGCGAAATGCATGAGGGCTGTGGCCGAGCCTCTGCTTGTTACTCACTTTGGTGATGTCATCATCGATGAGGTCTTTGAACGTTACAGGGAAATCGTTGCTGATCGCATGTCCAAGGAGAAGACAGAGTTTGTGAATGTCATCGTTTCTCTGCAAAAATATTGATGGCGATGATGATTTATCTACAATTTAACTGCAATTAAGTTCCAGTACTAGTTCAATTGTCATATGTGTTGTAATAAAATGGTGTCCTAGATAGTATGTTCAAGGACAGTACTAAATATTGGTGTGCTGTAATGTCAAGGTAAATTTAAATTTAAGGATATAAATTACTCGTCGAATGAACACCAAGTTTCTTGGTAATATTATCACCGTACATAATCTTTTCCACCTAAATAGATCATACCTTAGTATATAATCTCTAACAATCATTAAGTACCATATCAAAATTTTTCTAATAAAATAAGAAATTGTAAGGATGTAATTAAATATAAATTTTATACATTATATTTATATAAAATTTTAATTATTTATATAATTATTTTTTATTTAAATAATTATAATAAATTTTAATTATTAAAAATAAAAATATCAATTGTGGAGAATTTTTAAAATTTTTCTAACAATGAGTGACTCTCACTTTACATATATATATATATATATATATTTTATGGGAGATTTTGAGTGAAGTAATGCGGCCCCCCTTTGAGAGAAGGTAATAAGATAACTAAGTAATCTCAAAATTTGAAACTACGTGTACCAATTAATGCCGTATGACATAGAGATACCAATTATTGCATGTCTTCGTTGGAATATAGTTATTGGTCTTCCATGATCATGGTATGGTACATCTCAACTCTCCACGCTAGTCAGCCCTATGTTGAAAGTTGAATTTATCAAGATAGCCCATTCTGGTGGGTGGTTGATTCCATGTTCATTCATTTTCAAAGACTCCCAATGGTTATGAATGATTCCATGACTTTGTTTATAAATTAATACTAACAATTTAACATTAAACTTTTAAGAATTTAGAAAATTTAACTCAAAGAATTGTTAAATGCATACAGTTGTGTTCCTTGTGGACATTCCAGGTCTCACAAATATTGTGTGGTCGATTACTGTTAGCTTACATGTAGCTTTCACCCATTTTCTTCCATAGAAGGAAAGTCCGTATTTTGCATCTTGGTAGGGACTCCTTCCACTCCTTGTCCTTTCCTATTTCGTGGTCTATCTTCTCATAAACAGGGGTTTAAAAATTGATCGCATCATCTCTGTAAATATTCTATGTCGGCAGATAGATGTGAAGGAAAAAAAAGCAAGAAACCAGCAGTGTCTTTGTACTTTCTTCATAAACTTAGAAGACTTTTGACTTGAAAATTTACAAACAGTTATTAACTGTTAACTCTAATTAAATAGATTAAATATTTTAAATTATAAATAACCATAATTATTAGTCATTATATTTCAATTATTAACTATATCTAAACAATTAATCTAAATAGTTCCTTCCTCTTCATGCAAAAATTGTAACAACAAAGTGTCATTCACATATACATCATGATACAGTTTTGATTCGGTTGCAATGTATGTATGACAACTTATCGGCCCAATCAACCCTACTGCCGTAAACGGCCCACTATCCTTCAGCCCCACTTTAGTCTCTACCCAAATAAAATAAAAATTACAGGATTGCCACTTTCCCAGATAAAACCCTTCATTCAGCAGCCTAGGTACCTGCGCATCTCATCTCACTCAAAGAATCAAAGTTTGGATAGCGGCCCAAAGAGCCCAAATCTTGCTTCCGTCTTCTGTATGATCCTTTGGCAATTCACTTGACGTGGGACTAAACCCCAAAATTTGCCTCTCTAAGTATAGGGAGATATTTATTTTAAAAAAAAATAATTATAATAAATTATTTTTTAAATTTATTTATCAAGATAAAGTATTTATTATTTAATATACAAATTAGGTGTACGGGGCAAATTAAGAAATGTTTAAAACAAACTTTTAGCACATACCATTCCAAGAGTCTACCCTCTCATAATAAAATATTTTTTTAATTTGAGAATAATTTATATTTTATTTATTTTTTTGAAAAGATAAAAATTTGATAATATAATGCATAATTAAAGTTAAAAAATAATAATATAGTTAAAGTAGAAAATAAAGATTTGTCTCACTTCAAATATGAAAAACAACAATTAATCTAGAATAAGTTTTGAATTAGAAATTTTTATTATTCTATATAAAAAAAAGGGAGTATTGAAAACATGTGTATGATCATAGTCCAAGAGTTGCATGTAATGGCCAATGACTTAAAAAATTTAATAGTAAACTTCTTTTATTAAAAGTAAAAAATTATAAATTTAAATCGCATAGCATACGAATAAAATGGGAAATGAGAGAAAAGAGAAGGGAGAATATTACCTTCATTGTGCAGTCAAGATCCAAAAAGAGTTATGTAATGGTAACTTGGTAAATAAGTGTCTTTTATCAAGTTTAAAATTTAAGTCTTAGCGCTATTATTAAAAAAACTAGTTTTTCTCAATATATCTAACGAATTTTTTTATAAAATTAAGACATATAAATTCTGATTTTTAATTAAAAAAAATTAGAGCCCAATTTTAAAAACACCTCCATTTATAAATATTTTTAAAAATTAACTGTTCCCTGCAGGATTTGTGATCGAGCTCTAGCTGGCATCCTCGTCCATAACGGTATGATTTTTGTTGGTGAAACCACTTTGGTAAATAATTTAGGGTTTGTGGTACGAGTTGCAGACGGGAAAATGGTAAGAGAGAAGTAGAGAAGGAAGAAGAGCACGGTTAGGATTCTTTACCAGTGCATTTGTAGTTTGTTAAATTTAAATGAGGGCATTCCAGTCATAAAGAAAAAAAATGGTAGAATCTCTTCTTATAATGATAAAATTTTATGCAATACACCGTAATAAATGAGGTCTTAGGGTGGGTATTTGATTGCTGTTGGTTTTTTTTTTTTTTTTTTTTAAACTAATATTTTTAAATGTATGTGTACTTAATTTTTTTTTTGAATTATTTTTTTTAAGAGTTGTAGAAACTTAGAGTAAATTTATAGTAATTATATATAAAATTAAAAATCTCATATTGGAGTTTTATGATAGTAATTTTTACGGATAACATTTAATATTTAGGTTCATTTGGCATAGTAGTTTAGAGATAACAGTTAACAATTTTAGTCAGATTGTTAAAAATAAGTGTTTAGTAAATTTGTTTATTTAAAACTGTTATAAATTGAATGTTTGGTTAAACTCTTTATTTAGTGGTTTGGAACTGAAATATAGCAATTAGAATTTAAATGGATAGCGAATTAAAAATGTTATTTAAGGTAGTTTTTTTGTATCAAACCACTAGTAAATTAAAATTTTTTAATTTTATTGATCAATTTATCATTTTTTAATTTTTAAATTTTTTACTATGGTTTTTAATTAATACTTATTTAATTAGTTTGGACTTTATTTTTTTGTCTTTAATAATATTAAATAATTATTATATTTTTATTTTTACAT